GGAACGTAGTTGGCAATGTTGGGAGTTTGTGAAATCATCTGGGATCAATCGTGAGCTGTGCAAGTTGCTGGTGCCCTGATAGCATATACACGCTGCTCATAAACGGGCGTAAGCATAGAGAAAACTAAAGGCATCTTTACACACAACTATCGCTCGTGGGTGATTGCCCTGTGACCATTAATTATTTGGCAAGCGGCCAACAGAACCATGACGAGACAGGTGTACCATGACGCGGCATGTTATGGCACATGGCACCCTTTCTGGATGGGAACGGGCCGATATGGCCCCGAAAATTTTCCACAACATTCCTTGGGAATGTCGTGTAATCACGCTCACCTTTAGCGCGGCCTCTCAGGCATTCGTGCCGTATTTCGAGCACTAAGGTTCGCGTCTCTAACATTTCTGTTCTTCGCGTTTAAAACGTTCCTTAGGGATTCCTGCTGCGCGACAAAACTGCGGCCAGTACGGACGACCGACCGGCAACCCTGTGATCCAATGAGCACGAGGGCGGGGAGGGGAGAGGGGGGGTACGGTGGAACGACGGTGTTTCATTTACAAAACCCTTATCCTACAATCGTCCATGTCTGCTGAAAATGCATGAACCTGCATATGAATGCACTTACTCTTAAGCGAAATGCCAGTGTATATACTAGTTTCATGCTGTCACGCGGGATAGTTAGGTAGATATTGGTATATAATTATATCTATAAATCGATGGCCCCCCAAAGTCTTTTGGGAGGGGGGGCAGTCGAGCTTTGACGTAGCCTAGTTGGGTCCATGATTGATCCGGCATCACAGCTTTGTAACCACGACATTTATCACGACATTTCTCAGGATAACCCTTTTTCACTTAATCATCCGTCATTAAAAGGGTGCAGTATGTCCCAGCGTCCCACATCGCCTGCCGCATCGAACCCCAAGTCTGTTCGCGCTATGAAAAACGGTGAATCCGGTTAGAGAGTTTCTGGCAAAAAATGTACGTTTATTTGACATTCGTGTGTTGGGCTCACTACGGCAGTGCGGTGCTCCCAGCAAGGACCCATGATTCTGAAAATATCCTGCAAAAAATCGTCACATTCCTTTTCCTTAGCGTCTGGGAAACGGACGGATCTCCAGCGCCCCACATGCTGGCCAGCTTTTCGGCGTCGAAGAATGGCATCCCGGCTGCAGAAGGTCTTCCACCATTTTCCTTGGGTGATGGCTGTCGGTATGACCGGTGAGGGCGCCTCGGCGCTGATGATCCGCAGATGGGAGTTCGGGTCCCGAGGTCAATCGCCGCTGTCCAACACGAACAGACGCGTGATGACAGGCAGTCACTGCTTCGCCACAGTCACAGTCACTGCTTCGCCACAGTCACAGTCACTGCTTCGCCGCAGTCACAGTCACGTCCTTTGCCGCGTCAAAGTGACATGCGCGTCGCAAATAGGTAGCAAGTGTGAAGTCGCGTTAACATGCAGGTCAGGTGATATGATGGTTGTGTTCCACATTGGCAGACATGTTATGGACCAACACCTAAGAGAGGTTACAAATGGTTCGGGCATTTCGAAGCTTCTGGCTACGTCCATGTCTACGAAAGTTTGGCAAGGGGCACTACATTCGTTGAATGCAACATTTCTGGTTAGCTAACGACCAATTTCTTAGCACCATGACAAAGAAGCACATCACCAACGAGGTAATTCACCTTTCCCTTTTGCGATTTCGGAAAAATTGCTTAGCGAACGCAGCGAAGTCAACTGTCATTTCTAATTACATACGTTTGTCTTGCTCTACGAGTGACGATCGATCGCCCAGTGTCCGATCACACCGATCACATCATTCGCGACCTGCAGGCTTAAAGTAATTAAAAGCAAAATTTAAGCCGGCCTGCAGTGCCCAAATTCCGATAGAAACTAAATTTGTGGCTAAGAAAAAACTAGACGGCATGCAGCTTGAAATAGTGGTGGTGCTACTGCAAGCCCCACAGGTCGGCTTCGCTGGGTTGAAAATACGAATAGGCCCCTTTGAACACGCGTCACGTGGAACTGATATCGATGGTATCCTGGCAATAACTCACGCCTTGTGCCAAGCAATCTTTGTTGCAATCGCTGTCGCATCGAATCAGCCTTGCTCGGATCCAGCCTCGTGCATTGCCCGAGTCCAACGGGGGATCCAGGATGGGCGGGTGCCAACGGGGCTATGTGGTTCCTCAGGACGGTGAAAAACGCATGATTTTTCTTTCTTCCGGTTCAATTTTCCACCGATTGTGTGCCATTTCTGGATCTACCTCTCTCAAGGCTCAACGCCCATCAATTCGTACTGCATCTTTTCTTGCCCGAACTTATCCCATTCATCATCGGCTGAAGGAGTTAAAGCACTCCCATATGCTGGCTGAGGAATCATGTTTATAATTCAGCCAATAGGGAATGTAAATCCAGTAGGTTGAAACACTCAACAAAACCATCTTCGTCAACGCATTTGGCCATTCTCTCAGACGCAATGTTTCCAAAAATGCCGGAATCATTCACGCTCTCTTGCTAAGGCGATCCAGGAGTAAACAGACCAACGCCAGCTGAGGCTGCTACCACTCAGGAATAGCGCATCCGCGTACACCAGAAACAACATAGCAGCGTCTTGGCAGCATTGTACAGAACTAAAAATTATGATAAAATCCCAGGATTTACTCCGTCACTCCTCTTTTATTTTGAGCCCCGTTGCTATACTGCTTGGCTAGGCATGGACGTTGGGAAGTTATAGCCCTTCTCTGAGCCGATTCGTATTTGATCACACAAAAACACATTGACTTCAGACTAATGTAAGCGACAAAATACAAACTATTTCTAAATAATATGACTTCATTTCGGATGTCAGTGTTTAGTCCCTACGAAGGATTGACCTTTGAAATATGGCGACGTCCTTTTGGTCTATTTTGTATTTTTATACTTATGTGAGTCCGAAGTCAAGGCGTCTTGCGCATAACACTGAAAAGATCATTTTCATCGCCAACACTGATGGAAATTGTAGCTAACGAAATTTGTTAGGAAAAAATTAGCTCAGCTCCGACAATCGTGAGCCCAGCCTTTTTAAACTTCCGGTCAGTAACGGCAAAAAGCAGCTTACCCGTTCGTGGTAGCCAAGTTATTGGCGGTACCTACCATTCTTTTTCGAAGCCGAGGACAGCTTCTTCATTTCCTCGACTGGAATCAGCTCGTAGTAAGCAGGGTCGAGATTGGCCGTGACGAACGCCTCGGTTGTCTCACCGCCCAGGCCCTGCGGCAGAGGTCAGTCGAGGGCCTGTCGGCAGGCCACCGCTCCTCACCGAACCCTAGGCAGCCACGGTGTCGGAAAATGGATTGTAGCCGATTTTGGAAAGGCTTATGCATGAAACGCTCGGGGAAGAACTATGCATGCATGAAAGACAAACCAGCATGACAATGAGGAGGCTTTCATTTCAAAAGCAAGAGCGCTATGGAAAGCACATTGTTAAGAATAACACTATCGTATCACTATTCAAAACTTATGTATCTTTCACCTCTGCTGCATTGATTTCCGCGTAAATTATAAAATGAAGACATTCTTCATGTCATCTAAGGGGCTCGACCCAGAGAGCACAATACCACGACTTGTCACATGATCTCGGTGGCAAATTCAAAGCAGATAAATGACAAGCACCTAAGGGAAACTTCGTCGATGACAACAAAAGCTAAAACACGAAATGCAATGCAAGGCCATGGTTAGCTGGTCTTGTATAGAAGTAAATGCCGAATTTCAACGATGGGATTTTGAAAATAGGCCCAAGGGCTATGAAGTTTGTATCTTCCCACATGATCCTTAAATAAAACAAGGAAACGGTGGTGAATGCAAGCCGGCCTCCATATCCCACGGTTTTGGCTTCCTCAGATCTGACCTGAGCGGCTTTATCCATTGTTCCACAATAGGACTGTTACTTGAACTCGGTTATTGCAATTGACAAATCCAGTAATGTGTGCTATTAATGCGGTTCGCATAGAAATACCATGGGATTGAATATTTTCTTTACAGTTGCATAATTTTGATTTATGTTTACAGGATCTGCTTACTGGGGAAAGTTAGCATCGTGCAGAAATAATCACTCCCGCTCTGCTTTCCTGCGCAACAAAGCAGGTCACTTAACATGTAAAGCCATATTATCGGTATGCAATGTAAAGGTCTCGCTCACATTAAGAGTATCTATAAACTTAAAACCTCAAAATCGGTCAATATGTATGTATTATGCAGTCACACCGAAAGCCAAGTGTCGCGTTATGAAATCGTTAAAAAACGATCGGCCAAAAACAGTTATTCACGACTAACTCGCATTCAAAATGGCCCATGCATAACAATTTGAAGCGTTTTGAATCGTTTACGGGAGGAAAAGCAGATTACATCGGAAATATTGAAAAAGGCTGCAGCAAAATGCATCAGAAATTTTTGTCAACTGGTTGTAAATTGCCTGTAACAACATGGCGATGAGTGTTACTCACCTTACGCACGAACCGCGCTTTCTGAGACCTGTCAAACATGATTTCTCCTGCCCTGATTTTGGGCTTAAGCCCGGAGAGTTCGCTCCTGAAAACATACCGCGTCAGATTGTGCCCTGCAGCGCTGTCTGAACAGTATAACGAGATTTTCATCCAGCCGTTACACATCGCACCCACGAAGCATTTCCAGCTGGCATAGTGTTTTTTGTTGTTGTAAAGCCCAACTCAGCAGATCTGAGGTAGGGCGAAACAAGTGTCCTCATTTCGAGTGAGCAAGCTGGAGTGACGCAAAGAGCCTGGGCCGTAGCTGCCTTTACTTGCAGGCTTCACCCGCGGCCATGACTTATCATCCACACTGACCACCCGTTGACTGCTCCCAGTCCACTCTGTACCACCCGTCTCCCGCTGAGCACCCGTTGACTGCGCCCAGTCCACTCTGTACCACCCGTCTCCCGCTGAGCACCCGTTGACTGCGTCCAGTCCACTCTGTACCACTCTCGGCGAATTGGCGAGTCTGTCCTCCGCTTACCAGCTGGCCTTCGTGATGGCGCTGCTGGGAACAGCTCCCATCAGACGACCAGGCAGCTTCTGCATGTCGACCTCGCCCGTGGTCTTCTGGAACTGGGACTGCTTCACCGCCGCTTGAGCCATGACATTTATCTGCACCAGATCACGCCGAGGTCAGCTGTTTTGGTTTTTTGTTTGTTGTTGTTTTGCTAGCTGTTTTGGTTTGCTTTGGCTTCGACGGACACTCACAGGGCCGGATTACAGTCCACGCATGACCTTAATGGGTGCATCAGAATGTTATCCTCCCGGTATGTCTGTGTCATACTGGGGACGACAGGAAAATTTATGGCAAAATGCTCGTCATTGCGTTGTTCCGCCTGCTCCCGTTTGCACTCACTTCAAGTGGGATCCATGTCGCGCGGCGAATGCTGTCTCATCTCGCCACAGCACTCTCACTTCTAAAGATATATGGAGAAGTGCATCTCCAAAGTAAGTCCCTTACGACACAATCACCAGGGCCCCGATCCGATTACAAACACCCGCAACAATCATCCGATTACAACCACCGCAACTAGCAGCCAGCCAGTGCCCGTTCCCCTGTTGCGCTAATACGGCCACCGCGCCACGGTGTTGCGTTGTACCCCCGCGCCACCACACTGCACCATCACGCTTTGCCCTTTCGCGTCGACCCGAAGCCGTCGCTGCGCTGATGCTGTCGTCACGCCTCACTGGTCCACCAGCGCGCACCCGTGCCCCGCGGCTCCTCGCACCTTGCCCGAGGTCAGCATGGAGTTGGACTGCGCCAGCTGGGGTGAACGTGAGCTTCGAGTCCTCCGCCCAGTTTTTCAGGTACATGTCGGGCACGCAGCTCAGCATACCGTCGTTGACTGCCGTGTGGAAGAGCATGCCGTCATAAGACGTCGCAAGGCGTGCTCGCCCGGGCAGTGAGCACCCGCAGGAAAACAAGGACAGGAACTCCCGCTGGAAAAACTTTACGTACCCTGCTGTTGACGTGACTCATGTTGGTGCAAAACGGCAAAATCAGCGACAGACGGAGCAGTACAAATAAACAAAGTAATCAACCCTGTTCTACAGGTCAACAAACATGGTGAAGCGGGAACCTGATGCGGGGTGTCGGGAAGAACCGAGGAGGTTGCTTAGGTGAGAGATGCTTCTCATTGACCGGTTGCAGGACGTGTCTGCATGATGGGGTCTTGCTGATATCATATCACCGTAAAATGTTCGTGGGCGTAGCAGATTCCACCCGACTTGTGCAAATTTCGGGTAGAGCATAGTGCTATCAGCGCCCAACACATGCCCTTACCCTTTTCCCTACCTTTCCTGTCCTTCTATCTTTCTCTACCTTTCCTGTCCTTCTACCTTTTCTCTACCTTTCCTCCCATCAGTGGCGTAGCAAACCGGGCCTGTAGTACTTTTGACAATTTAATGCCGCCGTAGGGCTTCTTTTACATAAATCGAGGCACCCCAATTAGATTCTGAGTCAAATGCGAATGGAAAATGGGGCTGGAAAGACCCTCTACCACCCAATTGGGCTCTACAATTCCTGACTACTCCGCAGCCTCCCGTACTTTCTTTCCCCCAGCTACCCCCCCCCCCCCCCCCTCCCCCTCCCCCCTGCGCGCACAGATCTCCTGGATCGGCATGCCAGCCACTGGGCACCGACCAATGCAAAACATGTCGAATGTAGGCCAGATCCGGATCTGCTCTGACCTGTTTAATGCATTCCTTTGCGTGTTTGGTAAGTGGTGTGGTTCAAACATCGCATGACCAGCATGTTGCGGGAATGTCGTGAATCCTTATTTCTTGGAACGCCTGCTGCATGGAATTGCGAGGCCTGATGCAAGACACGATGGAGGACTACAATGGCTTTTGCGCCGCGACAAGCGCTCCATTTCCCAGCTCTTCGCTCTTCTGACCTCATCGGGGTAGATACACACGAACATGATTCCTACTTTCGTCCCATGTTAGCTTGCGTCTTAGGCTGACTTGAGAGAGATGCACCCCGCAAAGCCTACGTGGTGCCCCGTGCGAAGGGCTTCGGCAAGTCGACCTGCGGTGATAGAGCTGGGGGTTGGCGAGGAGTCTGTGCTGGTACTGGCGTCCACCGTCCTTGGCAATGTTTGGGTAGTATACCAGGACCCGTCTTTTCGAAGCAAATGGACTCGGAGACCTTCCTCTTCCTCTGGCATTGCTGAAGAACTGATGGGCATTGGTGTTGACGAGTCCTGGTTCGGCCTGAGTTTCTGGGTTATCCTGGTAAGGTGCTAGATGCAATGGCAGATATACTATAGAATACGTGAAAAGTGATCTGCATCGCGTCGTTTCTCTCATTTCTAGCGCCAGTCACTGGCCAAGTACCGGACTGAACGCCAGTACTCAAGTAGTTGGAGAGGACTGCCCCACCTCTATTCCCGCTGACTAATCGCTTTTGTAATGTTCAATTCATCCCACATCAACAGAAGTCCATGCTATTGGAGAAAGCATCGTTATCGTAGTGGTGGGTAAGGAGTCCGATGAAATAATTTCTCGAAACTATAAATGTCAAATGTAAAAGCCATTTGCTATTCCGCAGTTCTTTGAAGAAAAGAGCAGTCTAAGCCAGACACAACTGATCTCGACACATACGTGTACACTTCAAGTTTGGCCTAAAACCCATCGCTTTTCCTGTAACTCATCGCAATGTTCCAAACACTCGGAGGCAACGTCAACAGCTGTTTCATTCCCTCCGATCCAACTGCAGCTCACCTATCTTGTTGACGTCACTCTTAATTAGCTCTGTCAAGTTGACACCCCTCTGGGTCCGCTTGAAGACGTCACAGCGTTGCTGAAACAAGGCCATAATCGTCAGGCCCGTGGTGTTCGGCACTGTTGGCCGAGGACTTAAACACTGTCTAAGTTTGTCTGGTTTGTTTTTACATGATGTGTTCTGGAAGACCGCAGAAGAGCGGGATGAGCACGAAATCTGCTGGCGGTGCCTCTGTCGAACATGATCCGTGTTCAGCAGTGTGATAAACAGGCATGTGGGGAGATTATCTCAGTTACGTGCCAAAGTTAGTAAACACAGAAAATGGATGAAAAAATCGGCAATAAGTGTAGCTTATCATCAGAAAAAGGCTGACCAAATCTGAATGAAAGGAGCCATTGCACTCAGCACGCTGCGTGTTCTTCGGCCGCTTACTATGCACACACCTGGCAACGTCCCTCTCAAAGCAGCCTGAGCCGCCAAACTGACCCCGAGCGGTGCCGCCTTCTTCCCAAGAAACCGCCAAACTGACCATGAGTGGTGCCGACTTCTTCCCAAGATACCGCCAAACTGACCCCGAGTGGTGCCGCCTTCTTCCCAAGATTCCGTCAAACTGACCCCGAGTGGCGCCGACTTCTTCCCAATGGTGTCGCGCAGCATGGTGGCGATCTCGTTGGTGCGGTCCCGCATTGTGGAGTCCACCATGTCTATCATCTCATTGGCGTTCAAGAACTTGCCCAGGGGACCCAGCCTGAAAAGGCGTCGCCAAGATGCGGGTTGGCCCTTGGCAACAGCGGATTCCACAGCACGGCGGCGACGGATGTTAGGCTGTACCGCAGCACAGCAAGCAATGTTAGGCTGTACCGCAAGACAGAAGCGGATGATAGACTGTACCGCAAAGCATCGGCGGCTGGCACGGCACGTGCCAGCTAATGCCGGCACGTCCCTGCAGACTAATGTTGGAAGTGCTGTTCGGTTGGGCCGGGTACCCGCACCCTGCGTACCAGCGCTGGCCCCATGTTTGTACGTCCAGGTGCGGACAATGGTCTTATTTTGACTCACAGCTCAGTGTAAGTGCACCAGTGACACCCTGTTATTAGTTGACAACACATTTAAAGCGTGGCAATGCAAATATTGACAACCGTCATCGAGTGGGCGCGGATCGGCCCAGATGTCGACGCGCCCTAAAACACTAAATCACACACCAAAAGACATTATCAACGACATAGCCCAAAGGGGCAGTCGGCTCTGACACTGCGTTGTAAGCTACTGAACACACATAATCCATGGTGACCGCGGGGGAGCACAGTTATCTTTCGTGGTCCTGACGCGGACCACGCGCCGTTTTCGCTACCTGGTAACGAATGTCTTGACTGCCGCCGGACTGGGCGTGGTCGTTGTCCTTTTGAACTCGCTAACGAGCTTATCCAGGAGCACTTTGGCTTGGGCAGGGTCATACATCTGCAGAAGAGGGGAGGAGGCTGGGCGATAATGACCACTTCTCGGGTTTGTTGTCTGACGCTAAGACACACGGTCTGACGCCAAGACGCACTGTCTGACGCCTATACGCACTGTCTGACGCCAAGGCACACGATCTGACGTAGGGACATATGGTCTGACGCCAAGACACACTGTCTGACGCCAAGACGCACGCCCTGGCCAGCGTGTGTTATCATTGTGCAGCAAGAAAATGTCAAAAACATCAGTCTCACAGCACCTAAACGGAAAAGAAGCTATCAAACATCGGTTGTAAACCGTGACATTCAGTGGGCCGCACTCATTTGGTACAGGTGAACCCTAAAAAGGTCCAAATTCGTAAATAAACGATGTAACTCCGAACAAACCCTGCATGTTTCGGCACGCACCGCAACAGTCACGTTATATGGCAAGCAACGTACAGCGTGTTGCGGAGGCTCTTTCACAATTGGATCTATGCGGGGCAGGATCACTGCCCTTTTATTCTACCACATGCGCTTTAGTTTTTTTTAGACGCGTCGTCTTACACCTCTGCAAATAATTATTCAATGCGTTCCTTGACTGCATAGAGTACCTATGTACTAATGTTAATTGCTAGTCGGACCAGTTGGTGACAAGCTGCTCACGAGCTGCGTGACCTCTACCACTAAGCCGGCCGCAGGTCACGCAGAGGTCACGGCGGCGTGACCCGTTTCTGTGACCGGACTACGCGAGGTACGACGCTCGAGTCGAAAGCAGCGATACACCAGCAAACGTCGTAGGGCAGACGCGGAGACGACTCACAGGCCGACAGAGCACCCAGGCCGAGCGGCCAGCCCGTTCAAGCGCGGAGCTATGTCAAACTCTAGCTAGGGCACGGCAGTGCGCGGCTGCATTCGCTGATGTCTGTTTGCACGAGACATCGCCTAACGACAGGAAAAAACTCTGCAGCTTCACTGTTCTTCTACTGGGCTAGCTGCCAGGGAACAACTACAGCTACTGTCAAAAACGCACTAGCTACTCAATCTACAGAATACACATGGAACTGTGACAACAAGAAGGTGCCGTTGAGGCCACCTGGTGGCCTCAGATGATACGTTCTTTACCTCATCCACGCCGTCGGCTACCTGAGGTCAGGGCCAGCGCTGTCACACGATCAGAGCACACCGGCAACATTGGACATGGTTTTCGAACCCCGAAATTACCGAAGGAATTGCGGGACCCCGAAATTCCTTCCGTCAGTTCAGAACTACAAGCCATGTGTTTCTCGTATGATGTAGAGATTTCCTGTTATGTAAACACGGAATAGGGTGTACATAAAAACAAGCCGTATGAAAGCAACTATCCATTGAGGGGTTTGATATTGTGCGTTTATGTAAACCGCAAATGTAGATCGCCCTTGTTTCATCGTATTTCCTGAGGCAGTTGGCAGGTGCGAACAAACGTTTCGAGGTCGCTAAATTCAGTAATTCACCATCTCACGCTGCACTTCCTTCTCTCTGTTGCGCTAGGATCTAGCAATCTGCTGATTTTTCTCGCAGCACACCTCGTGTTATCTAATCGCAGGAGCAGGGAGAAGCGTGGCTGACGATTGCGACCAACAGCTAACCGGTGACATCAAGACACGTCACAGCCTGAACACGTCAAGGGTTACTTGGCACACTGCCAGCTACAGGTACAATCAGCTGCAGGTGTCATTCGCAGCGAATTAGTGGTTGGATTCGGTGCAAAGTTTACTGCGGACGTCAATCTTCACTTGAGTCATTAGTGCGCTATGAAAGTTAAACACACAGCACGCATTATCGGACATAAGCCGTTCCAGTTTACGGCTCCGTAGAGTGCAGGTGACTCATGTTTACCTGCAATTGTGCGCTCAGTGCTTCATTGGAGGATACAAATGCTTTTAAGCAGTTAAGGACGGTTGATTACACCCATCTATGATAATACAGCATCTCGCCTTTAGAACGTAAAAATCTACTAAGCCGCACTAGGCGAAAAAGTCTAGGCGTGAAATCTAGTATCACTTTACAAAAGCTGAGGATGGAACAGTTTTCACTGTATGTACCGGTCTGTGCCAGTCTTGAGCTGCTGCTGCCGTCCCGGTGGCAGATCAGCAATCTGCGTGAAAAGGCATGCGTTGTGCAAAACACCCGACTTACCGCCGGAAATCTAGGCGCGCTACGAAAGTCTACAAACTATATGTGAGGCCGTGGTAAATTACCGATTACCTCTAGGCCACAAAACTGAAAAGTAAGTTTCCGCAGGCAGCGAGCACTTTACCTCTTCGGTTGAGTCCGAGCCCTGCGGCGTACCGCAGCTGTGAGGCACTCAGTGTGCCGGGGCAGTATTGGGCTATTACCGGCGAGGACATACTGATTCATGGAGCCGGGTAAGGTGACGACAAAAACACGCAGGCACCGCGGACGCCACAGACCGGCTTCCTGGCTATGGCAAACCTACTGAGACAACTGTCTGTCTTAAATGCGAGCCGCATTATTCCCAGCAATGGCATTTTACGTAAAATGTGTGAGCACAATCACTTCAAACATTTCAGGAACCATTTGGTGCCGATCAAAATAAGTACCAGATGTTACCGCCGTGACCTGTCAAAACATCTCACTTGAAATGCACAGGTCGAACACAGCACGTTATAACATCGTTATCACACTTGACGTCAAGACTGCAGGTGGCGACAATCGCGCCAAGACAAGACGGCGCTCAAGGTCCTACGGAGCGTGTACAACTGCACGAACAGGCACCCGAGAGCGCAGGCATCGGCACAAAGGAGGCCTTTGCTGCCCGGATGAACAGGCACCCGAGAGCGCAGGCATCGGCACAAAGGAGGCTTTTGCTGCCCGGATGAACAGGCACCCGAGAGCGCAGGCATCGGCACAAAGGAGGCCTCTGCTACCCGGATGCAGGTCTGGGGTCCCTTACAGCCGGCAGCTTTCGGCAGGGCATCGATAACTCAGCACTCGACTACTTCACGTGGCGCCATTGGCCTGGCCAAAAATCTCTGGCAGGATAAAAACAGAGGTAAAAATACGCTCCTGAAAATGCTGCCACTACTCACAAATAAAAATTCGCAAACACGACGCCGCACAAAAAGGTACAAAACATCGGCGAATGCCGACTGGAGATATGGCGCAGGTCAGTGTGTGCCTTCAGAGACCAGCGGGTTTACCTCAGCCTCTGCAGCCGTCTCCTGTGATGAACCATTGTGGTTAGACAAGCCCAAGCCTTTTGCCGTTCGACAGAGGCTGCATGCCCGGCATTCTGCCCGGTGATCACGTGGGCGGCAAAGGCAGCGAGCGTAATGGTCGTTTACCGTTACCGGAACTCGGCTTGAGTTTAAACGGCCTATCAGATACTCGGGGTTCAGGTTGATCGAGAACAACCGTAATCAGAGATCAGCCACTACTTTAAATACGAAACAAAAAGCACAAAACATCGAATTACTCTTCAATAGCGAGACGCCGGTTTGTCCTGCCCAGCTGCCAACACGCTGTACCACATCGAGTCTCTTTAGCGCAGCGTGGGGCGAAACAGTACTGTCCAGTCCTCCGTGACTCGAGTTCCAGCCGGCAGCAGCCGGTCATGTCATGACTGTGTGAAGGGTTGCCTACCGCGTGGGGCGTTGTTGGATCACAATCTCGCATACAACGTCACCCCGTCGGGTAGCGCCGCAGAAACCACCTCACCGTATCCGAGGCAGGGGCAGAGCTGAACGCCTGCGCCAGCGGGGCGTCCCGCAGCATCTTCAGCATGTCCAAAGGCATGCTGCCCAGCACGTGCTGCAGCGACTGGATCTTGCTGGATGTCCAGTCCTTGCTCGGCAGTGATGCGTTCTCGATGTGCGCGATCAGAGCCTGTGACAATCGGACGTTTCCACAGTCTTACACGATCGTATTGCACGCAGCCGGAAGACACATGCGCTTATAGCGCAAGCGACGTCAGAGATTACGTGATGCAACCGTGGTGACGGATATGTCTGCCTGAACCGTGGATACGGATATGTCAACCGTGGATACGGATATGTCAACCGTGGTGACGGATATGTCTGCCTCAACCGTGGATACGGATATGTCAACCGTGGTGATGGATATGTCAACCGTGGTGACGGATATGTCTGCCTCAACCGTGGATACGGATATGTCAACCGTGGTGACGGATATGTCTGCATAAGGGTCCAGGCTTCCACAGTCTTATATAGCTGTGTAAGTTTGTGTAAGCGTGAAGGCTTATGTTAACGCATGAGCTTGTGTAGACGTGTAAGCCTATATACGTGTGCAAGGTTTTGATCCAGCGCTTACACATCCTACATAGTGATAGCTTATACGGTTCCAATATGATAAGTCCTCTTACCCTACCAGTGCGAAAAGCACTGCGCGGCATGAGTGTGTGACTGTGTGTGACCTTGTGAATGTTTGAACCTGTGTGAAGGTGTCAGCCCATGTCAAAAGGAGCCTTACATGTTCTTTCTTGTCTCAGTATGACAACACTCGCTGCTGAGACTTGTTCTGGCGCAGGGTAAATTGCGGCACGGAGAGTGTTTGAACAGCGTACAGCGCATATACCTTGACGCATGTACTTCTGGAGGGCTTTGATCAGGCATGAGTAGCGGGATCCTTGAAATTCACTGAGATAGTTCCTTGGTGGGGGAGGGAGGTGCTGCTTATCAAAAAGACTACGAAACTGTTGCTCCCAGCCTGCCTTGCACATTGTCTTGTTTATACACTGCAGCGTAAACTGACGCACTTTGCACACTAGTGAAGCCCACTTACCTGGGCTTATGGCCTGAGCCAATGCCTATGGGAATTCCGTTTTATTTCCAGGTCGGACTTACCGCCCAATTCTTCCGCATTCCGGGCTGCATGGCATAAAGCTGGGATTTGGAGGGCTTTGATCTGAAACGAGACGAGCACATCAAGGTCTTGCGCAGCATAAGCGACTCGCAGCATCTGAGTGCGCAGTACTCAGAGTGAGTGCACCAGAGTGCACCTGAGTGCACCAGTGTGAGTGCGCAGAATCCACACGTGGGCTCCACGCGGTACAGTTAAGAAGCTCAGCCAAGGACCAGTAACGGGGCTCCACGCAGTATAATTAAGAAGCTCAGCCAAGGACCAGTAACGGTTCTCGCAAGGAAGTTGATTTAGGTCACGAAGCGCAAAGTTGTGATTTTGACCGAGCGCATGGTCAAAATTGGATAAATTATCTAAGCTGGACGGAAAAGTGAGTCATAGAAACCGGCATAACCAGTTTGCCGTACCTACTAAGTGCTGACACCATATTTTATGGAGTTATATTTTTATGACGTCATTTTTTCAAAGCTCAGGACAACGATCGGGAGGACCACCCCAAGCACCGCCGTGTCGACACAGTTACGGCCCATCTAAACGGTCCGTGTGATCTAGCTGTGACATCTGGACACATCTGGTGACAAAAGGTGCGAGAACAGTGAGGGTCAAGTGAGCTGGGCGCTCCATTTATAGCGAAAATTTAACCTCAAGGGCATACCGATGCTGATATACTGCAGCCATGTCTGGCGATGCACACAAGTGAATGAATGTGAGAGTCATACCCTTTCAATTGCTCCTGCACCCCTCACTGGCATCACGTGACCTTGGTGGAACGATATCGGCCACCGCGCCAGTGCGGCGTCACGTCACGCCGCGTGTGCGCCGCTTTCGAGCCGCATGCGCCGTTTTCGGGCCCAGTCATAACGTCGCGCGACGACGGCATCGGCTCGAGCGACGGCAGTCCACGAAATCGACCACCGCGACCGCCTATTGTTTGTTATGGCGACGGACGTAACGGCGACGAAGCACGGCGAATGTAGACCAGGGCTGCCTGGCAACCCGCCGCACTGGCAACCAACGCCGTCCGGCCCAAGCGAACAGGCCGTATTGCTCGGAAACGGCGCTGGGGTTCGCGGAGCGGGCGGGTAGTGATGGTCGGGCAATCAACCTATTCACATTTGTGTTGAAAATTATAATGCTTGGATCTTTGCATTTTGACCTATTGGAATTGCACTGAAGATGTTTTCGAAGCGACATCAGGCTTTCTACGAACCGATCTCGTGCAGCCGAGTTATGTGTCCACGGCCTGGGCAATGACTTGTCACGTACATGCCCCTGCACATAGGCACTTTGACAGCTGCACAACCAGGCCCGCAATGTCCCATTTGTCGTCCTCAAGTGGTGATCCTAGCGACGTATTAAAACCTGTGCCAATGCGATTTGTGAAAGCTTACGTGGACAACTGGACTGTTCTATCGCCTCTGAACATAAAGGATATTGTTCCTGAGGGTCGCAGTTTGTCGATGCAGGCGACACAATTTCATGAAGGATACGAAGATTGATGTTATGCAAACTGAGCATGTACAAACATTGGTGTTGTCCACGGGTGTTTTCCATTGAAGAGAGGTTCTCGTTATTGAATTCCTGAAGCTCATTTTACGCCCAACGGCGGGTAGCTGTAGTCCGAGTATGATAATACTGAAGGGTATAAGCATCCACAGATTAAGGGCGATGCAGATTTACGAGACCAAAGAACTGAGAATCCAACTGTCAACTGTCAACTGTCAAACCAAGCGCTGTCCTCAGGAGGTAGCTCCCAAAGTAAGAAAGTGAAGAGCCTGCAAACAAAATCGCAGGCCTTTAAAACTGACGCGCAAAATGAAAGGAGCCAGGAAGGTTATGATCAACAGCGTAGACATCACCGTGGCACAAGAATGGTCCTTCCGACCTCCGACCCAACCTCAGAGGCATCGCCAGAATTTGACGCCTGTCGTGGCCTGCGTTCCAGTATCCGGCCACTTGAGTGGCAAGGATGTCGATATTTGTCATGCTATAACACCCCGACTTTGGGTTCACTGCCTGTGGCCCCTCTCCTTGTTCAAAGTCGGCTGAACAGCATCCAACGAAGCGGTGGCCTAACCAGTGTCTATCCGCCTCAGGCTTGAAAAATGGGCCGAGTAGGTCAGATGTCTGAGTCGGAGTCAAAGGTCAACGGATTAGCCAAGCCAATTGCGCGCAGGAACCGCCGCAGAGCGAGGGTTCTGGTAGCATGAAGTTATATTTGCATCCTGCACACCATTCCGCACTCGAGGAATTTTGGAACGCTGGTCGTCGCCGGCCGTGGATCCGGCTGGCATGGGCTGCCATTCCACGGACGAACTGTTGATGTTCGGGTTCGTCTGTCGTCAAATGAGCCAGGCGAAGCCCATTTGTCTTCGCTGGCAACGCTTCTGCTAAAAGCAGGCGATTTGGACACCGCTCGGACGCCATCACGAGCGACGCTGTCCCGTGAATTAGGGAGCATCGAATGAATGATCCCTCTGCTCGCGGAAGCCCATCGAATGAATCCCTTTAGATGGTGGCAGTCGGAATGATATCGTCTTCTTCTGTGCGGTGTGCTGGCCGTGTGACTCCTGTCCATATTGTCTGCGTGACGCCAGTAGGAAAACTGCCGTACCGTGGTGATCCCATACCGATTACTGATACCGATTCCATTCCATACCGACTCCAGTGGTTCAAATGACTCGTCCACTGCGCTCGATCACGCATGTGAGTTCTCATTTCGACGTGAATCCGCTTTTACTTCAGTTAGTTACTCGGCGCAGCGTCTAACTTCAAGTTTATGATTTTTAGTTAAATATTTGATCCACTCAGTTGATTCGCTATTTGGTTCAGCAGCGTGTTTAAAAGTCCGTCGCGCATGATGTTGTTTTTTGCGGCCAAGTCTTTTCAACGGACGGCCCGCGCGGTCTTTATAGGGGTGGCAGCGTGGGAATACAGATGAAAGAGTCGCCCAACATGATTCATTGGTGGAACTGCACCAATGGACGTCGGACAGGCAGGTCACGTGACCACTTTCCAGGATCGGGCTGGGGACACTGGACATTTAATCATGCCTTTAGTTTTCCCTAAGGTAAGTCACTCTGATGTTACGAATGCTGCTTATCGAGCCAGAGGAGCATTAAAATCGAAGCAAAAGCGTTGCTATTGGCTTCCCTTATTGCCTTCGTCGGTATTCAGCTCAGAGTGCGGTGCGACAGACACGTCCATCGATGTTATACGTCAGCGAGTTCCCAATAATGTTAACGCTGCTTCTCGCCAATCATGAGTACAGCAACTGTGCTTCGTGCCTAGATACATTGTCTGGAACAGCTGCCATCGGTTTAAGGCGCTGTATTTCTTGACAGTATTGCACTTACGAGAGTGAGCTTTACATTATTGTACTGTTGCTTCATTGCTAATGAGTGTCAATTTCCAAACCTGAATTCGCTGTTAGGATTTCAAGGTGTTTTCAAAGCACGGTGCCATTTCATTGTTCACCAACGAGTTAACAGTGTCTTAGACACACGGCCCTGGAGCTGTTCTCTGCTCACTCCCAGCCTGGTGTTTGTCTATTCCAATTATAAACAGATGCAAATTTTGGGTTTGTTCAGCACCGTTACCTCACTTTCCCCCATCCGATTAAGCAAAAATCCACCGAGACCACCTTAATCTTACAATCTGGTGTGTCGAAGTATTGAACAGAGCATGTGAGTTTTGCTGCCCGAGATACAAAAGTCGCGCCAAATGCAGGATGGACGATGACGAAGTGGATGTGGGGTCAGATGAGGGGTCACCGGTTCGCAAGTTATTTTCATTCTGACACTCTATGGAGTGCTGTCACGCTTCTGGTTCAGTCAGTAGCAACACTAATGGTACTGAGAACATGAGACCACTAAACCGCGACCCATTACGTAACGCAGCATGTAAAGTAACTCGGTACCGATCTCACATTCACTCAGCTCGCAGGCGGCGTACTTTGCAGCTGCCATCCACAGACTTAACGTTCAAGGAAGCCACAATTCGTCACAATTTTTCTGATGTCGGCTTCTCACCCAATCACTCGGGAGATACCCAACTTACATCGTGTTGAGGATTGCGGTGTTGTTGATTCTCATTAGCTTGGCAGGTGGGATGCGCGAAAAGACCTTGACCGTCTTCATCTTGTTGACCTCCGCGAGTGACCAATTTCGTGAGTCGCCAAGCCTATCCATCACTGACATCGCCAGCATTTTCTTTGCCGCCTGCGAGAGTGAGGGAAAACATGGAGGTCACGGTTCGTTTCTGGAATGATCTAGAGCTTCTTCACAGTCCATGGCACTTACACTAACTCACCATGTGAGGGATAAATGAAATATCACGATCTGTCGACCAGTTTCCATGGACACTGCGACGACGATGCTGATACGATAGCCTCTTTGAAGCCAGTCAGTAAACGAAAGACACTTTGGGGCGATCAGGTTACGTCATAGCTGAAGATATGGAACAGATGACGTCATATGCAAGATGACGTTAAATGCACGGTCCGGGCGTTCCTTCGCACAGAACGGTCACACCCAGAACTAGCACTCCAGACCCAGAACTATGCACTCATCTAACGTAACGAGCTCGTCGGCGCGTTTACACCGCCAACGAGTTTCAGATTTCCAACGTGGATGCCCAGAACTTTGAGGTGCTTGTTCCTGGCAGATGTACTTGCCCCTTTCAAAAATATGTGATCCTTTTACCTTCCCAGAAGATTCTGCGCCCTCATTACGTGGCAGCACCCGGCCAGTTTCATGCCTAGGGCATTCTGGCGGGTCATGACCCCGATGTTAGCCAGCCTCAAGACGCGGGGGATCACCATGCTGACCTCGTCGTTGCCCAGCTCGGCGTTGACCTCGCTGAACTTGTCTAGCAACTGGCTTCTTGTGTCGAATTCCATTCTGTCCAACACTTTCTGCATGCTTCGCGAGTCTTTCCCCGCCTTGAAGCGTGCAAAGAACTTGGCCTTTTGCGAAGGAGTCATCACCTCCAGCCGACTCCCCTGCCAGACACAGACACAGGTATATGCGGGGGCGGGGCGGGAGGGGGATGGAGAAGACGAGCCATAACGCGTCCATTGCTCCCTGCGAACTCATGACTCCTTGGAAGGCTGACGTTAGCAGGTTGGAAGCTAACGTCTCTGAGTTCAGTAGCTGCTGCATGCGATGTCATATGTTGGCCCCGAGGATTGGTTTCGAGCAAGTTAGGAAAGCAGGATTGAGTTTTGCAGATCACATTGTTTTATGACCATTCTAAGAACGTATGTGTATGTGCTCTGTGAACAACACGTTATTTGCAATTGGATTTTCCGCGATGCCTGGATTCAACCATACTAAATTGGAGCAAAGTATTCCAAAGCGCCTTTCCTTCTCAATCCGGGTATTATCATTTAAACATGCATACTTTTTGACGATTATCAGTCGGCAGGCTTTCCGGAAAAAAATCTGTACCACTTGGTGCCGAAACATGGATACCTCATATCACACTGAAATTTGTGAAAAATATATAACATGATGCAATATAACATACATAATGGATAGCATGCTATGAAAATCTCAAGGCATTCACAAGGCATCGTAAAGACACCCATGGTTTATATGCGTGTCTTTCAGGACCGAGTATCTGTTAAGAGGACCTTGTTGCGGGTACTCAGAACACGCCTCACAAGTCCACCAATTTTCAGAGGTATTCGCCCCAGACTTTTCCGAAGAGGACTGCGGAGTTTTGTACATTGCTCAGCCCCGTAACGCCGCCGCCCCGGGCCCGATTGCCCTCTGTGCTCAGCTTCCAGGCGACCTTTCCCGTGCCAGACAGCCCCGCGTCCGTTCGGGGACTAGTATTCGTTGGCGCTGGATTCCGAGTCCAGAACGAAGCGCGAAAGCTGGGCCACGAAATCTGCATCGCTGTTCAGTCACAGAGACAACCCTGCTGAACAGCGTTAACAGTGGGACGTTACAGGAACATTACAGGAGCAGTGGGACATTACAGGAAACAGCAGAAACGGCAACACAAGGCTTAAAACAGAAGGCTTTACGCTACATGCGATGTTTTGTCACGTCTTCCCATCGCTTCAGCAACGACGTATGGGCTGATGTCGTTCGGCTGACCACTAGCCTTACGCCAGATTCACGGCCATGGCTGATCTAGAATTGTCCCATTTATCACGGACGAAACTTTGTCATGTTGGACGGTCCTTGGTCTTCCTCTGCCCTTCCCGCCGTCTGTGACACCTGTCTCGACCACCTCAATATTTGGCTAAAAGTAAAAAAAGCAATAAATTAAAAATCAAAATAGCAATATATTGTCCTCGAGAACAAATTGCCTTTCCTTCCCCAATGATTGTTCTGAGGCTCAGCAAGTGTTCTCGAAAACATATTGCCTTCGCTTCCCCAATGATTGTTCTGAGGCTCAGCAAGTGTCGGTATTTTCGGATAGCAATCACATTGCGCTTGGCTTCATCCCGCATAGGCACCAAGAGAGGGGAATAAGGACCGGGCGGACCAAATCAAATCTGATCTGAAGGCTACACTCAGACGATGTCAACCTTCACTCTGTAATACCTCGAGACACTGCTGACGTCAGCGCTTCATATGCCTTTCAAACACCTCGCCATTGAGAGGGGCAGTGCTGACGTCAGCGCTTCATATGCTAATCAAACACCTCGCCATTGAGAGAGGCAGTGCTGACGTCAACGCTTCATACGCCAATCAAACACCTCACTATTCTGAGAGGCAGTGTCAGCATTTCATATGCCAATCACCATTGTCACGCTTCCCCATGTGTAGGGTCCGAACTCTCCATCAGCATTGCCTCTCAAGATTACAAACGGCCACGCGATAGGGCGTATAAGAACGAGAAGCTTCTTATCAAAGATTGCATTTCTCGGGTGGGTAAAATGCTGCGTGCACGAAACCTTGCGCATCACTTTGTTCGTCTTACGTGACTGTTCGCCGTGGCTGTCCATCTGAGATATTCAGGTACATTGCCGCAGATTTAACGAAGCGAAGCGAATGTAATCTTTCGGATGCATTACGGGCTCCCCCCTCGCCAACAGATTTGAAATATTTAAGTACAGGAAGTGATACCACTGCCACCCGGCCCTTGCCACAACTCCTGCTAGTGTTGTTAGTTATGTTGCTGAACTTAACACCCATCGCTCATCTATAGGGATGCCCTGGCTTAAATCCCCACCAAAATCATCAGCTGTGCAACATGGCCTACAACAACTGAGCTCACCCAGAGACGAGGCAGAGTTTGGGCGACACTTACCGCCGCTAGCGTACGCATGTTGTCCAGAGACAGCTCATCAATCTCCGCGTCCGTCAGAGCCGTCACGTTACCCCCATTGATCTTGTCCTTGATACTCTGCTTCAGGCTTGAGAAGGAGTTCTTCATTCTGCCGAAATTGTCCACATGGATCACGGTTTAGCAACTGAACAGCAGTTGCTACTACTGCGGACTTATGGGATAAATGCACTTCGCAATGTGTGAATCCTAAGCTGTACACGATTTATCATACGACTAGTGTTACACAAAGCAACATTCATGCGCACATTTTGCCTCCATTCGGAGCTACCGAAATAACCCAAAACCTTACACGTGCCGCATGTTATACTGAATGTATAAACTTTCGATCAAAACAGAAAGGAAACTTCCGATGCCCTCAAAGTGTACCGTACCTAGAAATAGCATTCCACGCGGTCAGTTATTCACATAACACGTTTTACAATCTCATATTACTACTAGCTATGCACCGAGTGCAACGTTGCCTTAGAACACGCCAACAGTGGGTTGGATAATGTCTTGGCTGTAGCGCGATCTCTTATATGCTCGGTTTCAGCTTTGTACTCACTTGTCCGACCAATTCGCTGCAGGCGTGAAAAGAGATGGTTTAGCCTCTGCTTTTACTATTTCCAGCACGCCAAATAACCAAGCGCAATCTGTCCAAGCACTGACCGGCACACAGATGTCTGTCACGGTTGCAACAGACGTCTGGGCTCGAGTCGGAAGCACCGCGTGGTCGACTTGCGAGTCAAGTGCGTCATGGCATCTGCTAAACATGCCTATCACGCTATCGAAAGGAGAACGCCGATAAAATCGTCGGTGCGACAAGATTGCCCCCGCAAGCATCTTTCAATAAAAAGTGGAGGATCCTTTTAACTATAGGATCAAGTATAGAAGCAAATATAGTATCCTTTCAGTGAAAGCTGGTGCTGCTGGCTACCGGCAGAGAAAGAGACAAAGAACTAGAGACGCGTGTCGGCCCAGCGGAACACCACAGCCCGCGGAGCAGTGCTGTTGATGGGGCGCTCGTGGCCCTCCTTGTTCGCGCCCGCTAATGTTTCAGACAAGCGCCAGCATGCGGCGCCGCCGTCTTTATGGGAAAGAGATCGCGTGTCGGCATGGGCGCTTGTTCCGAACAGACGACGCTGCACCGCGGCACTAAGCTGGCAACGGGCCACGAGGGGTCACCCCGGTTCGGTGACCTGACGTCACCGCCGGGTGTCGATCGAGGGAGCCCACGCAGCGACGCGATCCGAGGCGGCCTCGGCGATAGATTACGCCTTCACTTCAGTCGTATTTCAGGGGCCGCAAATGCATTTGTAATGCGGTCTGCAAATATGACGTCAGAGGTCGGCTGGCACCGCTGCTCTTTTTGGTGCACTGTACGTGTTCCACAATGTAACGTGGAGCGCCATTATCGCACAATGGACCGCCGGCTGTTGGATCCCAAGTGACAACATCGAGGTCCTGGGCAGGCCACATATTTCTACGGCGGCTCTAGCTGTTCACGGAAAGTGACGAGGTATCGAGCTGTTAAATTGTCAGCATGCCTTACATGCATGCCTTCCCAGTATTTGCATCACTCACTACGCGGAGATATATGTGCCACTCGAAGTCGTAGAATTCAAGTAGAATTCGGGTAGAATTAGGGTAGAATTCGGGTAGAGGCGCAACTTTACGCGTCATCGGCATTCGCCATTGACCAACGATCACAGTTAAGCACAAGCCATACCAATCAAGACGCTGTTTCTAGGACAGACTGCCCGTCTTTAAAAATGTAGCGAATTGCCACGGTCTTGTGATGCAACGTCTCAGGAAGTCGTCACCAGCACCGGCCACGTCGCCGTTACTTGTGCGCATCAATCGACACGCGTCTGCGTCACTTCCACTGTTTCTGGAACGTTCGCCAGCGGGTGGCGACGCTACATTCCTTTCGCCTGATGCATTGCTGTTGCGGGAGGCAGCGCGATGCCATGTTTGCCGGACATTCTACATCATTGTGCATTGCACAGCGATTGCGCCGCTCGTGGACACATGGTTTGACAGCACGTAAGGAGGGGTTAGGCATGCTGACCTAGATACTGGTGCAGACGATTGGAACGGGAACAACGGCACGAACGCGCGTCACGTGCCACTTTTGGAATTTTCATGGTATTGCAAGGAGTGCGCTCACAAGACCACATTGACAAAGGTTGCATTTGCTTTGGTGGCTGCTACATGAGTCGCACTTTTGTGTGGGACGACCGGCCCTTGTGTGGGACGACCGGCCCTTGTGCAAGCGCCGCGGCCATTACAAAGCCCCCGGATCTACCGAATGACTACGTGGAGGTACACACTGCCGTGGCTCTTTATGACGTGTGCTGACCAGTAAAATGGCATGACAAAACAGTGCCCTCATGTGAACGCCATGCCCCCGCAGGTCCGGCGGCATGCCCCTGGGCCGCCACCCCGCCTGCGGGCACGTGCTACGCCAGCGGGCACGCACCACGCCCGCGGGCCAGCACCACGCCCGCGGACTAGGCAGCGCAACAGCGGGTCACCAGCGCGTCCACCGGCCAGCACCGCGTCCGAGGACCGCCGGGCCGGTTGACAGTCTGTATTGACCGCGGTCCGGCGGCGCCACCACACCCGCCGAGCCCATTCGCGGCCGTGATTTGGCCGGAGCGCGCGCCGCCAGGGCCGCGGCGCATCGATGCGTTTCGGTCGGCATCAAACAAAGCCGGTGCCGGCCCGGTAATTGCGCCGCGGGCCGCGACGACGGGGACCCGCGACCCGCGACCCGCGCTGCCGCCGCCGCATTGTCCGCCTTCCGGTCACGTGACCCGCCCGGCGCGGGGCCGTCCGGCCTCGGCCGCCCCACCGGGTGTCAGCACGGCACGCTCGTATTCATTAGTTAATTCCTGTCGGCTTCGGCTTTGGCGGCGGCGGGAGTTGGGTCACGCGCGCCTTTGAGGCCGCGCCAGGGGTAGGGGTCACGGTGACGGCGGTGGTTGCTAGGGCGCGCTGCTGTGTGTGGCGGCACGCTGGCAGGCACGCGCTTTGATGGATGCTGAGGCGGGCCTTGTCTAGGGCGTGTGCCATTTTTTGACGCTGCGACAGGCTGGCGGACGATTTTTATCCGACAAAATAATCGAGTAAGGATCTTCCTTTTGAACCAACTCCGCCGCGCCAACAGCTTTTCGTAGTGGAAACGTCTCAGAACCGAGAATAATCAGTCTCGCATTGATGCGCCGTCTTCGTGTTGTTAACTGGCTTTTCGTGTTTTTAGCTCTGATGAATTTTGTCACGCAGGCCATCGGCACGGCATTCCTGCGGGAGTCTAGGCCGAGTGGGCTGGATGCCCCTCGACGAACCCATTTAGAGGGGCTCCAGCCCTTCTGGCGGATTGATGAATCGAGGAACATGAGACTCTTTTGGAGGGCCATAAGGCGATGCACAATTAAAACTGAGCCCACCCACATAGAACTTAAGGTTTCCTTGACAACCTCGAAAAAAAGATTAGAACTGCATTCGTGTTGTAACGGGTAAACTGATTTCAAGCACACCTTGCATCTGAATTTTAAGCATCAGCATTGATCCTATGACACTACTTCTAATTATTTACATAATAACCACGATCTTTTCAGGCTGAGCCACCAACAGGGATTGGCCTGACAATGCACGCTGTACTCACACATCGTTGCCTTGAACTTATCCATCTGCTCCTTCATCTTGCCCTTGAGACCATCCAGCATTCCCTTCGCCTTGTTTTTCGCGTCGGCAAGCATGCTGTCCACTGACCGCTTCCCAGTGCCGGCCTTCTCACCCTCCCCTTCTTCGCCTTCGTCGCCCGCTTCCTCGGCTGACCCTCCTCCTTGCCCACCACCAGCCATGTCCTGTCCGTCGCTCCCTCCGGCGGCCTCGCCTTGCACGTCCGTCTGGATGCCCGCTCCCCCCGCGTCGCTGCCTCCCGCGGCCCCAGCTTGTGCCTCAACTCCGGCGCTCCCTCCGGTCCCGGAGTCGCCTCCGGCACTCTCCTCCTGAGCGCTCCCCCCGGTTCCGATGTCCCCGTCAGCACCGGCGCTCCCTCCGGTCCCGGTGTCTTCCCCGGCAGCTGCACTCCCTCCGGTCTCGGTGTCCTCCCCGGCGGCCGCGCTCCCCCCGGTCCCGGTGTCCTCCCCGGAGGCCGCTCCCCCCGCCGTCCCCTGCTCGTCCTCGCCGACGTTGCTGCCGGCGACGCCGTCCACTTTAGAAGTGACCGTGGTGGTCTCCGCAGCAGAGCTGGAGAGCAGCACACCTGTGAGGAGACGCAGACAGTCAGCCAGACAGTGGGACAATAATTCAGCCGGACTTAAGAAGTGACCGTGGTGGTCTCCGCAGCAGAGCTGGAGAGCAGCACGCCTGGGAAGAGACGCAGACAGTCAGTCAGACAGTAGGACATTGACTGCTAACGATACCACCGGCCAACATAGACGGCATGCATGTCATGTCTGCGTCTTCTTGGGAGGAGGCGCAGACAGTCAGCCAAACAGTGGGACATTGACTTCTAACCATACCATCAGCCAACACAAACGGCACAGACGGGACAGGTTGGCGATGATGTTCAGGCAACGAAACAACCTCTGATGCAGCGTAGAGTGCAACTGATGCAACGACCTCCGCACAGTAAAGTGCCGACTCCTAGGACATGAACACTTTCAACAATGGGCCTAGAAGTAAAGCTTCTGTACTTTGAATAGGTTACCTTATACGGCACCCTCAGCAAGGTATTCTAAATTATAGACGAGTGCACATGACAACTACCCGTGGTATTTTTGTGAAATCTTGAGGTCTGCGACGACTTGGTCGACACGTCACTACCTGGTGTCACCACTAGCGTTAATCTATGTGACATCAGTCGCGATCCAGCCCGCCACTGGACAGCTATTTCTCGTTTGAAGCATCCATGAATTGCGAGCCGCGCCAGTCACATAATTCATGGATTGCTATAGCCCAGAAATACCAATCGTCGACGCTGGCGCATTCACAGACCCTCACAACCTTCGTTGTTTTCCTCGACACCCCGAATAAACCGCTAGCAGTCTCTCGGTGAATTCGTTCCAGAGCCGTCAATGGACAGTCACCATGGACAAATGACCTTATGACACTTGTAGGCTCAATGTTCCCTTTGCAAGGCCCTGAAAAATTTGGTTTGGCTGATAATTCTGAAAAGGTAACAGTAAATTTGTACACATGCTGTAGGAAAATCACTTCAAATTGAGATCGTTGAGCCCATCACATCTCTAAATGCATGTCCTCCAGACATTTTAAAGGTACGGTGCGAGCATTATGAATGAATGGATTTCTGGGATCAACGCCCACATCTGTTGCATAAGCCATGTCCCCACCATTCGATCGCAAGATTATAGGACAACGACATCATTTTGCGGCGGAAGTTAAACGTACCGTGAAGGTCGGCACAACTCGTTCTACCATCTGATGTGCCCTGGCCTTAATTAAGCGCGGCTACTGCCATCGGCCGCAGGCAAGTTCTGGCAAGTGGAGGGTTCCTGAAGAGACTTAAACCCAACCCGCCCCGAATGGGTGAGTCAACAGGTAAGGATCATGACGAGCTGAACTACTGAAACTGCCAGGGCTGCAGGAATGCGAGTGCAACATTCATCGGCGAGTGCAATATTACACGTAGCACGTCGCAAAGTAAAGTGAGATAGTCTGACCTTCACACCATTTTCATGCACCACCACACATTTCACGTTGAGTTTCCACCAAAGGTGTAGAGGGACAGTGCTATCCTGTCCCATGTTCATCCACATCTTAAGCGCAAACAACGTCCAGATCACACAAATTAACAGTGTTTTTTTGTTGTTGCCAATAACGATCCTACCACAGCGCATGTGGTCAAACCGTCTAGCGATCGCATTGCACTCGTCTCGTACTTAATTACCCGTTCAATACCGTTTACGGTGACAACTTACTTGCCAGCACCAGCGCAACCAGGCACAGCGGCGGCAGCCAGCCGGACGCCATGATGACCTGAGGTCACCACCAGACTCGACCAACCAGCTCAGCTCACGCTGACAGACGACTCCGAGGTCACTTCTGGAACAGCAGGAAACGAGAGCGGCGGTTCTTAACAATGGGCGCACGGCCGAATGGCGCGTCAGCGCTGCCAGCACTGCCCGCCATGGGAGCCGAGCATGTGACACGCACGCCCTGCCTCGCCTCGCTTCAGCAGACAAATGTACGGACCAATCGATATCGGTCGGCGACAGGCGCGTGGTGAAGGCAGAGGTGGTTTGACCATGCTGGCTTACGATACGATCCCGTTGGTTAACTCGTTGACTCATTGGACAGCACTAGCGGGAGTATTTTTCGTCATCATATTACAAATTTCACCACATCTATCAATCTTTCAATGTGATGGAGTAATAGCTTTCTTCCCACCGCAAACGAGGTAAATGTCACGTAACGTAGGCGGTTTAAAGCCTCCACCGACCTGGTATATATATATATATATATATATATATATATATATATATATATATATATTGACAAAACATATTTTGGTACGGAGAACACAAATGAGGCATGACTAACTGAAGTAAGACAGAGCCCTATTTTCACTTGATGCATATAAGGTACACTCATAATGGAAGCACTACAAAGACGCAATGACAATACTATTGCTACAATCACATCAATAGTGCTCATCGTCCACCACCTAATAGTTCAAGAGTCGTGCAAGAATGTGTTTGTCTGTTCAGGCCCGGATAGCGTTCGTTAATGAATATATTTTCCCGAATTGGAAGCCGTCTTCTGTCATTGCACGTCCGCAAAATGTCAGTGTTGTCTGCCAGTTGTTGTCGTGTCAATGTCCTGTCGTGTTCGTGTCGCGTGTGGTCCAGAGGTGCCCCGTCACGTAAGTGCATTGTCAGGCGTCGTGAGAGTGTCGTGGTCGTATATTTATACATATGTCGTATATATCTATATATCTATATATATATATATATATATATATATATATATATATATATATATATATACATTATATATATATATAAAGTGTTGTATACACATATATATATGTATATATATATATATATACATATATATATTATATATACATATATATATATATATATATATATATATATATATATATATATATATATATATATATATATGTATACGTGTATGTAGTGCAAGGCGATTCTTAGCTTCGTTCAGCGTCGCTTCTTTACGGAACACCTCACTATCTGGCATTGCCTGTACAGGTCATATAGATGCAATGACCTGTCCCTGTTACGTAACACGCAAATGGGGGGGGGGGGGCACCCACTGGTTGCCACCAGCGCGCGATGCCGCTGGCCGACCGCTCGTGTCGGTGGCTATTATTGCGGGCGGAGCGTGCGCACGACACGTCTGGCGCGGTAGCCTGGGACCGGAGGTGCCTGACTGCAGCTCGTCACGTGTTGACAGCGTGGTGTGTCGCGCTGTTATGACTGGCAGACCGACAAAACATGACTGAAATGTTTTGTGCCGCAGTCAAGCACAAATGTTTCAGCTATCTCATTCTCCTTGACTTTCTATGCCTAGTCTTTCTCAAAGTCAAAGGTCACGAGCTCTTATCTAGTTTGCCTTTGTGAAAAGCTCAAGAATGTCTCGACAGTACAAGTCAGCTGAATGTTTGACTCATAAGCCTATCTATCAATTCGCAGCCATACCATACCAAGCCTGCACTGGTTTGAGAGCTGACCATCCCTGCCACAAGCAGCAGGAGCTTGCAGCCATGCCTCTCATCCACACCAGGCGTGCGGTGGTGGAGGGCTGACCAGCCCTGCCATAAGCAGCAGGAGCTTGCAGCCATGCCTCTCATCCACACCAGGCGTGCGATGGTGGAGGGCTGACCAGCCCTGCCATAACCATCAGGAGCTTGCAGCCATGCCTCTCATCCACACCAGGCGTGCGCTGGAGGAGGGCTGACCAGCCCTGCTATAAGCAGCAGGAGGTGACAGGCGATCTGGGGTAGACACTCCGAACATGTGACACCTGATTTGTCTCCCGTGTCAGTTGGGAACGGCCTGAAGCTCCTTCCGCCTTTCATCCCGCCTATGGTTCCGCACCGGTTAGACTGGGCAAACTCCCCCGGCCCGGTTACGCTTTGTTAAGAATAACGTCCAAAAATGTAGCGTTCGCTTAGCCCATAATTAAGCTATGCGTGCAAACAAAAATGGGCGTGTTGCGTGTCAAAAGCATCTTGCATTGATGTTTTAAACATCAAAAGAGGATCTTAACACGATTTGTGGCCACAGATGAGAGAGAAAGAGAGAGAGAGAGAGAGAGAGAGAGAGAGAGAGAGAGAGAGAGAGAGAGAGAGAGAGAGAGAGAGAGAGAGAGAGAGAGAGAGAGAGAGAGAGAGAGAGAGAGAGAGAGAGAGAGAGAGAGAGAGAGAGAGAGGAGAGAGAGAGAGAGAGAGAGAGAGAGAGAGAGAGAGAAGAGAGAGAGAGAGAGAGAGAGAGAGAGAGAGAGAGAGAGAGAGAGAGAGAGAGAGAGAGAGAGAGAGAGAGAGAGAGAGAGAGAGAGAGAGAGAGAGAGAGAGAGAGAGAGAGAGAGAGAGAGAGAGAGAGAGAGTACTGCAGTCACAGCTTCTTGCTCCTTACTCTCAGCTGAGAGTTACGTTACGCTGTGCAGCCACAGCTGACAGTTACGTTACAAGGTGCAGCCACAGCTGAGATTAACGATACGCGGTGCAACGCGTCACGTTTGTTTTATCCCTCTTTCTTCCCTTTGTCACTTTTTCTAGATAAGACAGTAGTAACAGCCTTAAACCGGGAGAATGGAGATATAGTTGGGTTGATATTTCGGCAACATGCCTTCAGCGAAACAATACCTACTCTTCTGCTATCGTTTCTATAAAGGCATCCTGCCGAAATATCAACCCAACTATATCTCCATTTTCCTTTTTTTTCCACGAGGAATAAGGCTATTATTACTGTCTTATCTATGTGAATAATGTTCCTCGCTAATGCACTGAACAATTTGTTACCTTTTGGTCGCGCCCCATTGAGACACCCTCTCCCTTCATGTGCAA